ACGCTTTGGCCCCAAAAAGGACAGAAAGAGTGGAATTTCACATCTGGAATCTCATATTTCCCTAAAAGCTCAAACGAATAAGAAAGAGATTTGATCCCCAACAGGCTAAAACTGAAGTAATCTGTTCTCCAACCAGCCTGGAGAAAGAATAAAAACTCAATCTGGATTAAAAATGACAGAAAAGAATGACAGGAGGTTTTCAAACAGGAGTCCAAAACCAAAACCAAAGCAGGTTCCTCATCCTGAACCCTTTGGATAGATACGATGAGCAGGGGGAAAAATGTGAGTCACACCTGATAAAAACAGTCTGTGAGCTCATGTTCTTATCACAGAACGGATTATTAACTCTGAGAGAATTATCTAGAAATCTAAAGAATAAAACAAATCAGTGGATTTGACATGAAAAAGTATCATCTGTGTAAAAAAAACAAAAAAACACCAACGAACAGTCTGGCCTCCACCCTGGACCCGGACCCTCAACCTGGACCTGACACCTGGACCAGGGAACCAGAACTTGGACCAGGACCCAGATCTGGACCTCTACCTGAGACCTGGACCCGGGACCCAGAACTCGGACCAGGACCCAGATCTGGACTTCTACCTGAGACCTGGACCTGGGACCCTGGACTTCCACCCCGGATCTGGACCCCGAACCTGGACCTCCACCTTAGACTCGGGACTTGGATCCTGGACCTGGACCTAGACCCCGACCTCCACCTGAGAACCAGGACCTGGATCCTGGACCTGGACCTGGACCTAGACCTCCACCTGAGACTCGGGACCTGGATCCTGGACCTGGACCTAGACCCCGACCTCCACCCACAGAACCGGGACCTGGATCCTGGACCTGGACCTAGACCCCGACCTCCACCTGAGAACCAGGACCTGGATCCTGGACCTGGGGCCTGAACCACAGACTCAAACCTTCCACCAGACACAGGAGGCGTGTGACCCCCCCTCCTCCAACTTTCCCACCAGCTCAGCCAGTCGATAACAAGCCTCACTGTTTCCACTCTGGACCTGTAACCACTCAGGATCTGTTCCCACTCAGGACCTGTTCCCACTCAGGACCTGTTCCCGCTCAGGACCTGTTCCCACTCAGGACCTGTTCCCACTCAGGAC